AAATAATATTGGCTTGAAACATCTTAGTAAACTGCTGTCTATAATATCATAAGCAGAGTAAGATTTATTCATGTATGAAATATACAGATTATAGGTACCAAAGTTATAAATTAAATGTAACATATATAAATATAGAAATTCTTTCATATTGTGAATAAATTGTTTTTTATAATAATAAAACTATTATATATGTTATACTATTATGTCTAGTCTGATAAAATAATATAGTATTGGTATAGGAGATTATAGGTATATTATTTCTTGAAATACAAGAACAAGAACATTAAATATTATTACAAAATGTCTTGCTGATTTTTTTAATGTCAAATTTATTTTTAAATCCTTTAACGAGGTTACTCAATTTTTTGTTTGCGTCAACATTTCAAAGTGAATATATTTATAATAAATGCACATATTTTTTATGCACAACATTATAATATAATATTATTATCGGAACTCGGAGATGACCACACGCTCAAATAGTTTTTAATTACTTTAATTAATTACAATAAAGTTGAAATTTTTTCAGTTAAAATGACAGTAGGTAATTATTTTCAGCATTATATACATCAAATACTTATCGAATACGGTAATATACGTATACAAAAATGCGATAAATTAGGTAATACGCTCAAAACTGGAATTACTGCCATTGAACAAATCTAAAGTAGGTATTTCAAACGAATCCGTAATATTCACGTAGGTTGTTTCGAGTGACATTTTTTTTTTCTTTTTTTTATTATAGAATATTATATAAGAATATATAAGGTCAATATTTTTTTCATACGGCATTGCGATAATAATGACATTTATGTTTTCTAAAATAAATAATAACTGACGTGCACTATCTCATCAGTTATTATAAAAACTTATACATATATACCTACATTCATCTATGATATAAATTATGTATGCACAATAGATAGACACTTAAAATGAGTAATAATAATACACTATCAACATATAAATGTACGAAAACGATAAAAACGTTCGTAATTTATTTTTTTCACAGGTATTATACAGGTTAGGATATTTACAGTAATATATAACAACTACCTACCTACATAAGAGAGATCTTTACAAATCGTTCAGTTGTTGTATAACATAAATACATTATGAATTATGATGTTTGTCCGATAGAATAAAACATATAATATTATACTTATACCTGTACCCATTTGTGTGTATTTCATAAATATTGGATATTGATAGTGTTTTAAACTTTATTGTCACAGTGAACACCTGCAATATACTACACAAAAATGTCAAATCAACTCTGAGTATTTACTTACAATAAAACCGGAATATGATAATTCCATGAATTTATATGCTTGTTATCTAACGATCCAATAAGTACCTATGCATTGTGTACCTATCGTCTACCGTCTACTTCCGTTCAAATAGAGTAATATATTTTCGGGCAAAATACGTTAATACATTTATACGACTAGGTACTCATACAATACTTATACACACAAATATGAAATAAACATAATATTATATACATATAATATATACGTCGTCGGGTTAATACTATGATATCCATGCAAACAAACACATAGCGTAGGTTCACATTATCCACATGAAACATTCATTTTATTTTATCGAAAATAAACAATTACATTTATTCGTTCGAAAATTCAATATGTTAGAAATAAAACATAATTGTAATAAATGAAAAAATAATTAATTAATTTGATAGTATTAAAAATTAAAATATAAATTGAATAACTAATAACTACATCATTAATTAAAATTTCTAATTATTTGGTATATTTACAGTTGACGGTATATCTATAACCTAAGCAACAATAATCTTTAGTACTTACTATAGCTAAGATGTTTTCAAAAAGTTATAAGATACCAACAGCAAAGGTTCACACAAGCCCAAAATCGAATAATTATTATTCTACATTTTAAAATTATATCGTAGACATTTTATTCAAATTCATTAGTACACTATATTATAACGAGTTCGGTTAAACTAAAATTGGTGAAGATTTTAAGTTTACCGAACTTACACATTTCATCGGTTTAAGGATTTTTCAAATGCGTTTTTTAAATTTACTATGACTGCAAAAATTATAAAATAACTTGTATAAAGTACTACACGTTTTTAATTTTTAGTCGATTTATTACTGGGTAATAAAAAAAAAAAAATTGGAACGAATTTCTGGCACGAGAAAAAAGTCCAACAATGTTCGTAGGTATTCAGTTGAGAGTCTAATTGGTAGTCATGTCATATTTTTATGTGAATTTAAAGGTAAGTATTCTACACGTAAAAATTCAAAAACAACAAAATTGATCTTTTAGTAATTTTATTCTATTTTTTATTACTTGAATATTTATTGTATTCGAACTATTATAATAGCATGAAAATGACCTACACTTGTATAACAAATTGCATTTTCAATCTCAATTTAATTCAAACTGTATTTTCTTGTACATTGTAACACTTAAAATTATTACTACCGTCATATCTACGTAGGTATAAAACTCCATAAATTTCTTTTAAATATATGGTCTTGTGTTCATTAAATAATAATAACCATAATAGTAATTAACTCGAATAAATAGCTTAAAACTTGGCATAGTTTCTTTTTCAAAACTGTATTTCTAGACTTTTCTTGAGTTGGCGTAAACATTTTACAATCATCATATTAATATAAATGCATAGCACGTACATGTTTAAGCAAAGAACAGTGCAGTATATTATACTATAGAGTACATTGTTTATTTAATCAAATATTACGAATTAATATGACTGGGCCACTGTGGTGCAGAGAATAATTATTTGATAAAAATATATCATATTAATAACACCGACCTATATTTTATCAAAAAGCTCAATTTAAATGCATATAAATGATAGTCTTTAGTTCTTTACAGTCTTCACAGTCTGAGTAGAAAGAAAATCGCATTGTTTTAGTTAAATTATTATAATAACTTCAATGTATAAATACCTAAGTCTTATTATAAGTATTCGTTTTTAATTTTGAAATGACTATGATATCATTTTGAATATGAATTTGAACTTTAATTTAATTTAATTTAGTGAAGTTACTTATTTTTAATTGTGTAAAACAACAAATTATAAGATTGAAATATTTTTTTTTTTATTGTCAAGTATAGGTATGCAAATGGTATGTTGTAACATTTAATGAATCTATAAAACGCTTTTGAGTTATAAAGTGTTTTAAATTTGTAAGTTAATAACACATGTGTCAAAAACATATAATATGTCTAGATTCAATAACATATAACTTTCAAGTATTTAATTTGAATGAATAAGATAAGCGGTAATAATTATAATTCTGTAAAAAATGTATATTCAATTTGGCTGCTCTCCACAAATTTCACAAAATAACGTTTTCTAGTATTAATCTAGCAAACGTGTTCCTCAATTTTAACTATTATTATATTATTCCTAATATATTTCAAAGAATTAATATTATTTATCTACTTGGTTAGTGGTTACTCTGCACTCAGCAGTACTTTAGACGTAACTTAATTATTATTTTATTTAATATCAACAATAAATAAAATATTTAGTGTTATTAAATTATTAAACTAATAATAATATTATTTATTATTACAATAGCTAGTAGAAAACTAGTAATTATGTCACAAAATTCAAATGTATGACTACAAAATGAAACAAAATATAATTAAACTATAACATTACTAAAATAAGTATATACATATTTAAAGAAATCATTAACGTTTTGGTGAGACAAAATAAAATTAAGTTAGACAGGTAACTGTTTTAATTTTCAAAAATTAAAAATTAAAATAATACCATTTTTATTTATAAAAATTATAAAAATTAATTTAGTTTGAATATATATAAAATTAGTAAAAAAATTATAAAATCATGACTATAACTTTAATATTTAATCATTTAAGCACTTAAAAATTATTTTTTGGAGCATACTCATTAATTTATTAAAAATAAAATGTAAAATATACAGTATGAATTTTTGACCATAGTCATTCAATTTGTGACCTCAATTTTAAGCATATTTGTTTATTATTCATGTATAAAAAAATTAAAAATAAATAGATGAAAATTAATTAAAATTTTGATTTTGGACATAATTAAGAAGTCTCCCCAACAAATGTCGTCTTGTGGCGATACAAACCTTTGTTTTTCAAATGGATTATTGCTGTTTGCTGCGATTTATTTAGACGATTTTTTTTTTACAAATCTATTGAATCATCAAATGTATTACTGTCGAAATTGAAACAAATATTTTAAACTGTCGTCATTTATATGTAAAAAACGGACTACGGATAAAAATCACTATATATAAAATATTTCACATTTTGTTTTTCTGTACCTACGATGCATGTGAATTGGTGAATTGATATAAATCCAAACACTACGACGACAGCGTAATAAAATAAGATTGGTTAAATTTCGTCTATTATTTGAAAAATACTATTTGACACAGATGTTGCTTTGCAGATGTTTTCGAAAGGAATGCGTTTGCAGCCGATCTCGATGGCCGTGATGGCTTCGGTAGAATATAATAAAATAAAATAATAATAATAATATTAAACAAAAAAAAAAAAGAAATGCAAAATATCGAATGAGAATCAAGATAGGTAATCACAGCATAATATAAAAAATAGTAATAAGTATTGCCTAACGCGCGTCTCGGGGGATGGCGAAGATATGAAGACCACCGCCACCGTGCACATCTCTAATGCGACGAGACGTGTCTTCTTTGCGGACGGGAAAAAAAACTGGTCGCCAAAAAGTCACCGCGCGAGTTTCGCAATAACGACGTATACATCATACCTACGTATTTATGTATGGGTATAGGTAATCCTGTATACTTATAAGTTATAATAAACGTACGACACCGACCGATTTTTGACGCGGAGAAAGTGTCACCGGACTGCGGTAGGGAGCAAAAAACGAAAATTACGATCGATTTATCTTAATTTATTAATTTTTGGGGAACGCGCGACTGGTATATAAGCCAGGGCCGACCGACCGTTTGGCATCAGTTCACTCCAAGGATCCATCGCAGTCATCAAGACACAATACAAATTGTATAGCAATATCGTCTCGTCTGCAACTGCATCACCGCCATGGCTCATTTTAAGGTAAGACCAAAACACAATATATTATTATTATTATTATTATTATCGTTTTCACACCGTATACCGCGGATGGGTAACACGAGCCGCCCAGTAGAGTCATCGATTGCACGGTGCGCTTCACGAGCCACGAGGTGTGTCGGAGTTGAGACTCGTCGTACGTAGGAAAAACTCTCAGGCCTCGTGAAATGGCCAGATTTCGATGACTTTTTATTTTATTTAAGACACGAACACTCTATGTGGATAGGAAAATAACGAACTCCGATTTCAAAAACTCTATTTTCAAAAGTTGTATAAACGTTTAAATTTAGCACAAATTTTTGAGTATTTTTCTAGCATTATTTTAAGTTATAATAAGTAATAAGTAATTATAAATTATAACTGTTATTATTCCTATCAGTCTGGTTCACATTACGCAGCGCAATATTATATCAGGCCCAAAAAACTCATAGGCTAGCTTCGATCGAACGTCAACCGCGACGTCCGCACTATTGTCATCACACACATATTTTCATACATAGATCAATCGACTTAGGTTAATCAAAAAAATGATTTTACATTTTCCAGGCATGCATCGTCGGTTTGGCATTGATCGGGCTCTGTGCAGCCGATACGGCCAAGACCGCTGACGTCAAGACCAGTAACAAGCGAAGCGCCGATTTTTCGTACGGTCTTCCGTCCGCAGGCTACGGTTACTCCGGTCTTTCTTCCGGTCTGTCTTCCGGCTACGGTTACTCCGGTCTGTCGTCCGGTCTGTCTTCCGGCTACGGTCTGTCTTCCGGCTACGGTCTGTCTTCTGGCTACGGTGCGAGTTACGCTTCCAACGCTGTACCAGTCAAAGTCAGCCAATCTGACCAGGTGGTTTCCGTGTCCGTGCCACAACCCTACCCCGTGCCAGTCACCCGTCACGTACCAGTGTCCGTGCCCCACCCCGTCCCAGTGTCCGTGCCCAGAGCCGTCCCGGTCAGCGTACCACACCCAGTCCCAGTCACTGTCGACCGCCCATACCCCGTTGACGTACCACGCAGCGTTCCAGTCAGCGTACCACACCCAGTCCCATACCCAGTCAGCCGCGCCGTGCCATACTCCGTCCCACAACCGTACCCAGTCGAAGTCCAACAGCATGTGCCAGTCTCCGTCCCGACTCCAGTGATCGCTGCTGCACCCGCCTACTCTGTCGGATACTCCGCCGCTTCGTCTTACGGATCCTTGGGATACTCCGCCGCTTCGTCTTACGGATCTTTGGGATATTCCGCTCCGTCCTTCGGATCGTCCTACGGATACTCGGCAGCTGCTCCTGCCTACGGATCTTCATACGGATACTCCGCCGCCCCGGCTTACGGATCCTCGTTCGGATACTCCGCCGCTCCGTCATTCGGATCTTCATACGCACACTCCGTTCCGTCATTCGGATCTTCATACGCACACTCCGCTCCGTCATTCGGATCTTCGTACGGATCTTCATACGGATCTTCTTACGGACACGGTCACTCATTCGACGAGTACAAGAAATAATTTCGATAATTTTTTATCGCAATCGTCACGTCACGTCCGAAAATGTTCAATTAAAATCTTTCAATCCAATACAAACGACATCGCGTGTAACAGCGTCTAATCCGAAACCCAAACGTAGTACGACATCAATCACCGCACACGTCGTACCGCCGCCGCTCATCAAATCAGATTATTACGATACGAAATGACGTACGTTGTACATTATACCATATATTTATATATTTAAATATACATACGTATGTATATGCGAACTGACTGGATAAAGTTAGATGTTTTCTCGCATGCTTAGGTTACCCTATATACCTAGGTACACATATTGTGTACAATATGGTTCATCGGGGTAGATCGTATACACAACGCGTATTGTCGCGGTATATTATACACACTGCACTCGTTTCGTATCTTTAATAGTCAATATTATTGTCATCATCATCATTATTACTATTTTTATTATTTTTAATTATTATTATTATATTTTGTTATTATACGTAGTTATATTAAATGTCACGTTTTTTACATGTATAATATAATATTGTGTGCAGTACAAAAGCTAACATTTCATTTTGTCTCAATAAAACTCAAAAACAAAATTTAATACCATAATATAACTGTTTGATTTATTTACTTACACACACACACACACACACACATAAATATATATATATATATATACGCTAAATTGCTAAACTTATATTACCAACGTGCTGTGCAGACAAAAATCTACGCGATATCTACACATTATATACATACCTACTGTATAATATATGAACAATTAATAATAATAATTTATCCCGCAGTCACGCCTCCTCTTTCCTCACCCAAGGACTAAAAAAAAGGACAAGATTGTGACCCTTTTGTTAAAGAACGATTGATATTATTTATCAGACTAAAACTCAAATAAATAGTAGCAAGCACTCCACATTAGTTATTCTAAAAACTAAAAACTAAAAAGATGTAAAATATATCATACTAAACAATATTTAGGAAGAAAATTCACAATTATTATAATTTCTAAGTGAGCTTTAAGAATTATAATGTTTGCTAAAATGTTTCATTTTTGTCAACATTCATAATCAATCAAAAAAAAAAAAAACTAAATCGATTTACACATATAAGATAAGCTGGTGTATATATTATAATTTATTAAATTAATTTTTAAATCATTTCAAATGATTTATAAACATTTTATTCATTATTTTGTTCATTTTTAAGTAAATAATAATTTACAACTAATATGCAATAACTTATTAGGATAATATTAGAAAGATTTTTCATAAAATATTATATCACAATATATGTAGGAAAAAATAATTTACAATAAAAAAATATAAGTTTTATGAGATATCATCATAAGATTTTAAATTTTATCCTATATGAAATATAGAAAACATTCACAATAATTAATTTAGGTAATAATAAGTTAAATATTGTAATATATTACAACTACTTACTACAGAATCGTAAAATTACAATATTTTAGGATGTTCATAATTCACTTAAAAATTTAAATCGAAATATCTCGATCAGTGTTGAGTTCCATACCAAATGTTTTATGCACGAAAAGTATGAAATCTTGTCCATATTAGATTGACACTCATAGTTAGAATTTATAATGTCGAATATCAATAATACGTCTTTTTTAGAGCAAAAGAAAAAAAAAAAGTTTTACTTATTATAGCTAAGCAACTTTAGGTTAAGTGATCAGCGATTTCGTGTAATTTTAACAATGGTTACCAAAACATATAAATACAGTGCTACGAAAATTGATCAGAAAAAAAATGTTTTATCCAGCTTAAAACCATATTATTTATGTATTAAAACGTGTTATGCTCTTATAAACGAACATACGAACGAAAACCGAATTTATTCAACAAAATTTTAAGTCGAATTTTTTTAAAATCTCTATGCATTATCTAAACATGATTAAATTTTAAAAATATTTTTACTCTTATTGATTTAATAATAAGTAATTAAAATGTTCGACTTCTTTCAGTTTTTTTTCGACTGAACTGTGATTAAATTTTTATTTTTAAATAAGACAACAGAACATTTAATACTTATTGGACGAATGTATATGATCTGATTTTCTCTTAAGAGAGTAAAATCATTTAATTATACAATTTTATATTACGTCATATCGTGAGCTGTATATTCTATACTTCATAAATTATAAAGTAAATGCCTTTACCTACTTACATCTTATTACGTGAAACATAAACATATTATCTTTTTTGTTTGCATCTATCTAAGCACCGTAGGCATGGTCGGTATAAACATGACAACTAGTACCAGTAGTACCTATTTAGTCTATAATCTAGGTGTAGACACTTACATTGATTCACAAGGTTTTTAACTTCTGTAGATCTTAAATTCCGCATAGCTAGATACTTATCAAATCGATAATTATCCACCTATTGACAATAACGTTTAAACTTAATGTAGGAACTATGATACAAGGTAATTTGTATTTCATATATATAAAGAGAGAGAGTGAGAGAGAGAGATAGGTAACCAGGTATCGTATCTGTAGCCTTTTAGGTAACGTAGTCTTACCCGTTTCCGAATCAACACCGTGATAATAATAAATAATACAACTGCAATTAATAGCATCATATAGTTATGGGATTGAGATTTTTGACGTTCTGCGGATACCTCTTCTCAATAAATGCCACAGCTATATTATGATAATGCTGCGGCTACATTACACTGTAGACAGCTTCTCCGCCAACTTTCTTCGTTTGGAAAGTGACATTTTACTGTCTATGTAATAATGGGTATCATAGATGTATAATACTTGGTGCAGTCGTTACATGCTACGGTTATTATTTTGTTTACGCAATACAATAAATATAAATTATTATTGTAGTTTATTTCTATGTACCTATATCATATTTTCGCGGTGAAAAACAACTATGTCCTGAAAGTTTCACCGAATATGAATTTAGGTATTGCTTAATCACTCTTACAATCTCAGTGGGCAATCAATATATTTAAAAACGGTTCTTTTTATTATTATTATTATTACGCTCATTGAATAAAGTTGGAACACTTGTAACTGACCGATCAAAAGCAAATTAAGTTTTTGATTTAATAAGAATAATAATTATTAAGTAAGTACTGTGTTTGTAGAACACAAATCACATGCTTTAACAAATCTCGAATAGAATGTGGATTTTTGTTATAAAAATGGGTAAATATCTAGTTGTAATAGTGAAACTTTCTGCATAGATTAAAATCATTACCTAGGTAATAATAATTATAATTTAAAATAAAACTGATACCTTTGTTGTTAAAAAAAAAAAAAAAAAAAACGATGAAGGTTTTTTTATAAGTTTTAAAAATAGCTATAATAATGTAAATATTTTTAAAATTAAAACATTGGTAGAATATTAAAAATATGTTAACAAAACAATAATTTTATAAAATAATATATTTTTATTTTATAGAATATAGACGTATATTAAATTCACTTTTTTAATTTGGAAAACAAAAGGTTTCTATTATTGGTATACCAATAGGGAGTAAAACGATACTTCCCTCCACAAACATTTCAGGGAAGCAATTACACCTTAACCCACCCACAACCAAGTACATACTTGAATATATTATTGAAAAATGTAATAAAACCTAAATAAAATTAGAAACAATAATTTTAAAATGTTGCTTACTTTTTGAAAATCATCACCACCATTAAAGTAGGTATCATACATTTTTTGTTTGTATTCTCTACCATTTTGAAGATGATTATTATCAGGAAAGGAACTATTAATAAGTTGAACTTAAGTATATGAAGCATCAGACCTTTTATCAAATGTCTTGTCAAGCTTTCTTTTATTATTTGGTTTATCACTGTATATTAAAAAAAAAGTAGGTATACATTTTATTTGAATAATAAATTTAAAACTGTCATACTTACTCTTGATAAAATAATATTGGACCGAGATTGAATTTACTACAGTTAAAATTACATAGAGTTTTTAAAACATTTATAAGTTTGATAAATTGTTCAGTTTACTTTAAAATTGATTTTGGATCTTAAAATCCATGTGCAATCAAATTTTCAATAACTGATCTTAAAGCTACAATACGAATAATTATAACGTTACTAAGAACCAAAATGTTCATAAATATACTTTATATGATACCTATGATAAATTTTTATAAATGTATACCACTATACGAGAGCTGTAAGCAGCTCGTAAGCAAAACAAGTTGATCGTCCAGCCTGATATATATCTCTATGATAGAGACTCTATCAATGCCAATATTTTTGTTTCTATGTTCATGATAAATACTTTATTAATACTATCCCATGATAAATGATGAGCAATAATTATCATCAGGGTTGCCAATAATATCTTGGAATACAAATCTTAAAAATATTTTCCTTTGTAAATTTTAACATCCAAAAAATACACATTTACAGTTTTCTTATCGGAACTCTATAAAGTGGGTGGGCTAACTTCAGAAATTTTAAACCTTACATAGCAGCTTTCGACCAGCAAACTTAAGGTATTAAATGGTAAAACGTTGACATACATTTTAAACAAATTTTATCAAATTAGTTGTCAAACTTCATGGAAATTTACCATGACCTAATAATTAATGCTGTTAGAGGGTTAGGATATTTTGAATATCAAGTAAAAAATTAGGAATGTTTTTATGTACCTTCTATTCTATAACTATACTGTAAGAGTCCATAATGTTTGCTCTTAATACTTAATAACGTATGATTCATTGGATCTTATACTCGGTTTTACGATTTAACTCGAAAATCTAAATTCAAATACTTAAAGGGTTTTAATAATCATATAGAGTTATTTAAAAGTTAAAACTGATTAAGATAACTTTTAGATTTTTAAATATTATAGGTAAGGTGGATTTTTAAAATACCTTAATTTCTAATCAATAATCTTAATTAAATGTATGATTAGGTAATTAGATGTTTTTAAATCATTTTTATATCATAATTAATGATAATATTGTATTGTAGTAAAAATTTAAAAGATAAATTATTATTTTTAATGTCATTTAAAAAATTAAAAATTATTAAATATTTTTTTTTAAATTTAATTCTTGCAATATATTTTATGTAAACAATTAAACGTTTTCAAAAATATTAACATATTGTTTATATCTAATTAGTTTTATTAAAATAATTAATTAAGCAATTTTTTAAGTTTTTGACTGTCTCTTATGATATCTAGGAGAAAATTTACATGGAAAATATTTAATGCTGAAAACCGTAATT